GATTCTAATCGTGTATTATGGCAATAATTCTAGTTATTGCTTTTGATTTCCATCGGCCCACAATAGCTTTTGAACGCACTGAACTTTTTTTTTTCTTAAAAAACAACAAATGTTGAAAATTTTGAATTGCAAATTTGAGTCTTCACTTTTTAATTTGTTCAATCTGCAGATTCCTTTTCAATGGTTATTGCTTCGAAATTCTACATGATTTTAAAGAAAAGAAAATTCAATGCGATATTACGATGCATGAATTTCAGTTTTGTGTAATCACTTTTCACAATATACAGTTAGTCAATAAAGTCTGCGTACGGACTGATTATTAAATTAAAAAAGCCCTTTAAACATCAAAGAAACATTTTAATCTGTATGATTTTTTTTCCTGTAATAGCTCCAATTGTAAGCTACAATAAAGAGCAGAAATAAAAGTGCAATATTTTAAAGACTTTTTCAAAAATAAATTTTTACGAAAAAAACACAACAATACACTCCAGTAAAGTCTGCGTACACTTAAGAAAAAATGAAAAATAAAAGTTTTTAGCGTTAATTTAATATTTTGTTGTGTACCCTTTATTTTTTTCACCTGACATGTAATACTAATTTGACATAATGGAATCGACAACAAAAGACAATCTCGAAAATATTTTTTTTTAATTTTAATTTTATTTTACTTTGTATGCCTTTTTTCTCTTCATTTTCATGCATTGTCATCCAATTCTGAACTATGTGCCAAATTTGAAGTTTGTAGCTAATCGGGAAGTTAGTTTAAAATTGATTACAAAATTCCACCCGGACAGACATACACGAAGGCAAGTTTATATAAACGTGGTAAAATAATTTAGTCATATGGATTACCTAATCATTTTAAGATTAGATGTGATTGAATAATATATGGTATAATCACCATATGTTATGAATTTTAAATAAATTTTGACTAATGCATGTTGATAACGAAACAATATCATAACTAAGTTGCATTATTTCTTTATAAATTTATTCAAAACAAATCTATATTATCAGTTTTTTGTGTTACATTCAGCACGCACTGAACTTTTTTTTTTCTTAAAAAATAACAAATGTTGAAAATTTTGAATTGCAAATTTGAGTCTTCACTTTTTAATTTGTTCAATCTGCAGATTCCTTTTCAATGCTCGCTTTTTCAATGGTTATTGCTTCGAAATTCTACATGATTTTAAAGAAAAGAAAATTCAATGCGATATTACGATGCATGAATTTCAGTTTTGTGTAATCACTTTTCACAATATATATGTGTGTATATATATATATATATATATGTACTTCCTAGATAAATTATGGATAAAAGGAAAAATTGTGCTAGAACATTAACGTTTAAAAAAAATATCATATTTGCCACCAATTTGACTAAATGGATCATGGTATATGCAGGGGTCTGTCTAGACTTTTCTAAGAGGTCCCTATTTTGTGAAAATTTAAACATAATTTGTGAAAAATTAAAAAAATAACACAAAAATATGGATTTATTGTATAAGGGATAAAAAAATAAAATTTTAAGAAAAAGTATTTTGTGAAACTACTGTTTTTTCTAAAGTTGAATTTGTGAAGATATAGCTAAACGGTAGTAAATTCGGCCTAGACTGACCGCTGATACGTCAATTAAGTTGTTAACAAAATTTTAGGCAACTATTTCATCCATTATTTTTTCTGTGGCAACCCTGTCATTTAACAGTCCTGTTTAGTTTGTAGTTACAGTGTTTAAATTAGCCTAGATCATTTTTTTAATATTAAATTTTCTTTTACTTCATGTCTATTGTTCCTTTTTAGGCTGAAGTTGATGGTATCTCAGAACAAAAGCAAAAGGGAAAAAGAAATAATTTCCAAAATAGCAAGTATTGAAAAGAAATGCTTGACGTGTGAATCTCTACAAGCAGAGAATTCTTTATTAAAGAAGCAGGTTTTGGATCTAGCTGGCGACCTAAAAGCCAAAGAGGAATCTATGGAAAATATCCGTATAAAATATAAGAAACTCAAGTCAAAATACAAGCATCAAAAAGAACATAAGACAGAGGCTGAGTTGGCTCAAAAGGAATCTCTGCTTGTTGACAA